ATTTTTAACCTTTTAGTAAAAGAAATTAAGATTAGTCTGACACTTTAACTTTTGTCCAGGACTTGTGTTGTTTATTTATGCATATTTTTAAAGAACAGGTTGTACTACTGTGTGCTAAAATTATTGAGACCAGAGGCTGGAATTTCAGCTGATGCACATCTTTGGCTCGCTATTTAAAGGGGACTAAACCAGAGGACAGTGTGTCTTGATGGCCTTTAACTTGATGTCAACAGATAATAAAACTATTTTTACAATAAAAAAGTATGCTGCCGTGATTGTTGCCACAATATGCTGCATTAAAGAAAGTGGATTAAGTGGATTAATCATCTGAATACAATCAAATTATTACAAAGACAAAAGTGTATTTTTTTAAATTGTAATCTTCTTAGGAGTGACAAAATTTAGAAATATTTTATGTGACAGAGTTTATTTAAGGTTTGGACTTGAAAGAAGGTTAAATACAGAGAAGCAGTTTCTTTGCCTAACTACAAACAACGCTTCCTGAGCAGGAAGTGAAAAGGCTGGTGTCTGACCTGAGGCCCCTCCAAACCACACCCTCTTTCTCTTTTCCCACCCCCAGAACCAAAATAATTGTTTTTAAGATCAGTCACAGGAAGCACAACCAGAACATCTAAAGCAACTTTCCTTTTGTTGTTAAGTTCCTGTTTTGTGAAGGATATTAACAAGATTTCCCCAAATCCAACTTCCTAAAAGGATAATTTCAATACTAAAGACCATCATGAACTGTCATTAGAGCGGTTTTGATTTAATACAAATGTGCACTTATCTAAGGTCATGTTAGTGATGATGGTGTTACACGGTCCATACTGGGATTGTGTTTCAGGGACTCTACAAAAACACCCAGAAAAGTTGGATTTCTGTTTTGTAAAGTTTGAAGTCTCTTCTCACCAAAATCTTCTGTGTTTTACCAATTTAATATCCCTCATATACATCCCAGTGATGTTTTTCTTCCCTAACCATATTGTTTCAGCACATTATTGATGTTTATTTGCTGTACATTTCATTGTAGTTTCACTTGTCTCTACCCGCTCCACAATAAACCAAAACCACAGCTTTGGCATTGGCTTTGGGGAAACCTCACTTCTTCTTCAGCAGCTTTTTCAGGTTGCATGGTTCATTCTCAGGGATGAACCACACTGCCACAGAGGGAATTATATTCCCTACACAACAGTCGCTCTGTAAACAAACACATTAACTTCATTTCTAGGAGAACATGCAGTCTCTGCCAGGGAGTGCATGTGGACTGAAAGCACCTGTGCAGACTGTTTTTATTTCCCATTGATAACTCTTTACAGTTCTTTTTCATTTAGATTTATCCATCTATTAAAACAGGAAGAAAAACTAAGTTTATAAATGAAATGAAAGGAAGCCCATTATTTTCTGTAAAAAAAAATTCAAATAATAATACAATCATTTTACAGACTGAAACTTTGAAAAAAAAAACAGCATCAAGTCTATCATTTGAACAACAGTTTATGTTGATACATACTACATGGTTTCATATTTTTTCAATAAACAAGCTTTTTTCATCTTTTAAAACACATTTTTTTCTGGAAGTTTAAATATAATCGATTTTAGGTGCAGGCTTCTGTCAAACAATGTGAATATGAACCTTATTATGGTCTAGTTTCCTTCCTATTGAAATATGGGCAGTGGAGTATATTTATGTTTTATTTGTGTAGTGGAACATTTTTGTGAAAGCTAAGTGTAGCAGAGGAGTTTCTATGATTGAAATATCAAGAGATCAGCCTGAATGCATAAAATTGTTGTGCTTGTAGCGCAAAAAACAAGATGATGTAAGATGCAACAATCCAGTCCCCAATTTCTTACTCAGTCTGAAAGCCAGAGAACAAATGCTTGGTCCTGTTTTATTCAACTTTCTATTTGCTTCCATATAAGTAAATTCTCCTTTTGGTGTACCTCAAGGCTCAATCCTTGGTCCTGTTTTATTCAATTGCATGCTTCCACTGCAGATGAGCCACAATTTTACATTTTATTTTCCTCTGATAACAGAGATCCTCTACATTATTTTACGCAATGTACATTTAAACAATGGATACCATTAAATATCTCACAGCTATATAAAGAAATTCTCAACTTCGATGGAAAAACACAAAGAAAGCTGCAGCTCTTCTCAATTTTATGTCTCTGGAGTGCAAAATTAAAGCACTAAACATTGATACAAACAGTATAGTGTTTGTATCACAAAGTGATACAGTACAAATTTAATAAAGTCTGGTCAATCATAATACTAAAAGGACTTTTGATCATTTGAGAAATATTCCGCATTTTAAATGGTTTATATCAAAAAGCATTTTTAGGTAGGATTTTTGAAATGGTATTTTTAAAGACCTCCCAGGTGTTATACCCAGGCTACAACTGATTTAAAATGCAGATGATATATATA